TTTGAAAGCATCTTTGGTGCCGACAGCCGACGTCTGAGTCCAAACAAGCTCCTTAGAAACCTAACTTCGCCTGGATTTGGATTTGGGCCGACGAAACTGCAAAGGTGTCTAAGATTGATACGCCAGGGGGCAACACTTGCGGTCGCAATGTATGTGTGTGTATATACATATATATACATATATACATATATACATAAAGCATGCGCAAACGTCATGCGGGTTTGCTAGGCTAGGTTTCATCAGCTTTGGAAAGACCATGCAGGCGTGCCAAGTCTTCCCATCATGCGGATTTGTCAAAAGGTTTTCTTGCGGTCTCACGGCAAAGAGACTGGGCCTTAATAATGAGAATAGGGTTTGGGGCTCATTATACTATAATTATGAATATAAGTAAGATCCCCCAAAATAGTATAAGTAGTTGTTAAGACCCCTATATTAGGGTCGCATGCTTAGTGTTCAGGGTTTAGGGTTTAACATCCAAGGTTCTGGGTTTATCGCTTCTGCCTCCTATGTCTGGGTGCACCTCCACAGCTTCCAGGTGACAGCGCGCAAGATATGAACCATCGCAACTACTATAGGAGCCTTAATACTTAGAGTAATTAACGTTTTGGGGCATATTATACTATATGATTGTAATAAGGAACCACCAAAATAGTCTTGGTAATTATTTAAGCCCCTATCGTAAACCGCCGCAGCTAAGCGCAATCCCAGACTGGAAACCCTGATAATATGGGGCCGAAGCAGTTTACAACAGGTCGTAGTGACGTCGTAGTGGCCCAGTTATTTTGGAGAGACTTTGAGGGGACTGGTTTAGTTCGACTTTGGTGCAGGACTGGTTTAGGAGTCAGGGTTTAGACGAGAGTTTAGGGTTTAGTGTTTAGGGCATTATGAGTTTAAGGTCTCGGAGTAAGGGAAATCTAAAATCCAGGAAGTACAGGTCTGGTGCTAAGAGCACACGAGTCAAGAGTTCAAGGCTCCGGGGTTCAAGGTTTAGCACAGTGTAGGGGCCTTAATAAGTAGAATAGGATTTGGGGGCTAATTATAGTTTTTTGATAATAAGGAATTCACAACATAGTATTGGTGATTATATAAGCTCCCACAATATGGAGGTTTAGATTCTTAAGGCTCTCGTCCGGGGGGGGTTGGGAGGTGAAAACTCGGGCCTATATAGATTATATATATATATACCATATATCATAAATATGTATGTATATATATATAGAGACATATATTCGCATATATTATATACGCATTGTATATATATATATATATGTACTATAGATATAAAATATATATATATATGGATAAAGACACTATATATATACAATTCGTTTTATTTTACATATACTATCTTACATTACATGTATTATATGAACAGACTGGCTAAATATCTATGAATATATATATATTATATAAATTATAGATATTTTCGACTAATATAATAATTACGACGACAACTGGTACTCCTTATCTTTCCGACCTTTCTATCTTATATCATTCGTCTCGTCTTTCGTTCTTTCCTTCCTT